ATGCAAATCATACTTCAGGTAAGTTGCTTAAAAGGAAAAGTCACGAGTTTTGCAAGACAGTATATTGGTTCAAATTGAGTGAAGGATATAAGAAATCTATTTATTATTTATTACAATTGTACATGAATTCACAATTATCTTAAAATAAAAAATTCACTTAAATTTTAAAATACATGTACAAGTAACAGTGATTATCAGTTATCCAAAAATTATTATTTAAAAAGCATATATGTGTTTCTTATCAAGTGATTCATGCAGGGTTAAATGCAGTGTAATCCCGATTTCTGCTTTGAAACATTCAACTCTGCTTGAAAGTTACTGAATGGAATATAGTCTTTTGAGATTTCTTTTTCTCTGGATTAATCCTTAAATGGAACCACTAAATTATTTATTGTTTCAGTCATTTCTAGAGAAGAAATGTTACAAATATTCTGAAATTATTCTCTATTAATGAAATACACAATTATCATTTATGGTAAGCAACCATACATTAAAGTCAAAACCTTACACTGCCAATACAATACCAAAATCTGTTAGAGTTCCTATGCAGTAGCACAGAGGAGAATCATTGAGTGCCTTAAGGTAGGTGTTTTAGGTATCACAAAATACAATGAAATATTTAAGAAAAAATAAGTGTGGCTTGAAATTTATCTCAGGATCTGTAGGGCCTTTGGTAATATTTTTTCTTCAGGTTTTTAAAAAATATGTTTTATTAACTTTTAATTTTATGAGTGGACAAAAGAAATGGGATTTAGCAATGAAGTTATGAATCAGTTGGTCTTGCTATTCCCAGAATAATTAAACATGTATTCTAGTTACTAGTGTAAGTCTGACTCTATTAAGAGGGCTAGGTATTAATAAAAGTGAGATCACCCACATATAAGGCTACGGACGGGAGAGAATATGGTGCAAACCAAGGAGTGCTACAGCTCCAAAGAGGATTACTGTCGCCCTAAGTTACAATTGTTGCCATGGTGGAAACGTAGACATAGTGTTGGATTACTTTCTGATTAAGAGAAGCCAGGGGTGCCTGGGTGGCTTAGTTGGTTAAGCGTCCGACTTTCGCTTAGGTCATGATCTCACGGTTCGTGGGTTCGAGCCCCGCATCGGGCTCTGTGCTGACTGCCAGCTCAGAGCCTGGAGCCTGTTTCAGTCTGTGACTCCCTCTCTGACCCTCCCCTGCTCACGCTGTCTCTCTCTCTCTGTCTCCTAGAAATAAATAAACATTAAAAAAAAAAAAAAAAAAAAAGAGAAGCCAGAGATGAGAGAGGAGGAGTAGGAGAAGAAGGGAAAATTCTTGTTGGAAATTAATTAAGAAACTATTTAAACTCTGTTCCCTCCTATGAGCCACCTGTTTGTGATAGCAACTTCATAAACAATTAAAGAATGCTTTATATATAAAATTCCACTGGAATGGCTATATATAAAAACTTGCTTCTGAATTCACCATTCTCCTGACTTCATTCGTTTTCACTTCCGCTAAAAACACTTTCTTATAGGACTGCCAATGGCCAAGAATTGGCATGTTCTCAAGGCTTACGTTTTCATCTGTTTGCCAAATGGCTGTAATATAATTCACAAAAGCCCTGTTTATTGAGTACTATTATTAATGGTTAGCATAATACTGTGAAATTGAAGACATTCTTTCTGGATTATGTCCAGATCTTTAAAAAGAACATTGGTTCCAATAGGATATGTTTGGCTTATATTAAAACTTATTATTTTGAAAAGTAGAACAATGTGAAAAGCATTTGAATAAGTATCTTTGCAAATTTTTTTCAGATATCTAAGTCCCACACGTATTAAAATATTTTGAATGATAACAAAAAGAGAATGTCATACTTATGAATGCTTTATAAAATCATTTCTCATTTTCAACACATTGTTGAAAATATAGCACTGAGAAATCATTCAAGTTACCAGTCTATTGACTTTTTCCCTTCAGCTACATTTGGCAAATTTTGCTAACTGAATGATCTGTTGCTTTTTTATTTATGGCTAAATTCATAAATTACCAAAATATGTCAAGGAAGAAAATAACAGAAAAGTCAACTTTTTACATTTGTTCCTAAAAGAAACTAAATGTCTAAATAAGAAGCATTAAAATGTACTCTCAACCTAAATTATAGTTAATTATTTTGCTAGTTCATAATCCAACAGTCACCACCTGAGACCAAGTCTGAAAATCCCAACTTGACTTCTGAAACCAATCATGAGCTTTGATTCATTAAATGGCTCTATTTTTAAAGGGCAGCATGAAATCTTCCAAGAATCATAAAATATCAATTACTCAACTGTAAGCAACTAAAGAGAGAGAGAAAGGTGGAAAAATGGGATGTGGTATCAAAAGGAAAAGGAGATGGAGTGGGGGTTGAGGAGGAAACTAACCAGTCAAAATAAAGCAAAGGAAGCTCAGAAAACAACATATGTGAAAGCATTGCCCAGTCCTTGCTTTGCATACTATATAGATTCAGATCAAAGTGCCTTACTAAATTCTACCCAGAGAGTTTTATTGGTGACTTTGGGAAAGTGGGCTGAGGTTAATAAAAGAAATCACTGATTACAAGGAAAGGGATGTGTCCAAGTTAAAAGATCAAATGGAGAAGACACTAAGAAAACTAGAATAAATGTCACTTTAACTCTAAAATCAAGAACAAATCAAACTAGCAAAAACTTATACATACAATTATGGCTGTAGAAAGAGTTGATCAATCAAGTTCATCCAATTAATTTCCTTTCTCGGACAATATGATAAGCTGTACAATCAAACATACTAAAATCAATGAGTTTTAAAAAGATTTTTTTTCTCATGATATACTAATCAAACCAAATTCAAAGCCTCTGGATGTTAGAAAGCCAAAAAATGTAAAAGATTCCTTCTTTCGAAGCAAATATCAACCAGTGGTGAGGGCTGATGTACAAATTAACAGATCAGCAATATAAAGCAATGATCTGGAAAATAAGTTCAAAGGAACATCTGAATCAGAACATGAAAGTTTTGGCTGGAGCACATAGAAAAAAAGAATACTGTAACCCAATCAAAGACTGAGTTGAAATTCAGGGCCAGGACTACATCCTAAATGTGCTAGAGGAAGTCTACATTGTAGATAGTACTCTTGCCACTGAACTATAGGCACTAATGTTGTCCTTGGAACCAAATTAGATCAGATTAAGAATCTCAGTAAACAAAAAAGGAGTCTAGCAAAACCTTGACAGGTGGATTTTAAAAAAACAACATGGCTCTGGGGCACCTGAGTGGCTCAGTCAGTTAGGCATCTGACTTCAGCTCAGGTCATGATCTTGTGTTTCGTTAGTTTGAACCCTGCCTCGGGCTCTGTGCTGACAGCTCAGAGCCTGGAGCCTGCTTCAGATTCTGTGTCTCCATCTCTTTCTGCCCTTCTGCCCACTCACACTCTGTCTCTCTCTGTCTCTGTCTCTCTCTTTCGAAAATAAACAAACGTTTAAAAAGTTTTAGAAAAATAAAAAACAAGATGTTATATGATATCCTAAAACAAAAGATAGAGAGAAGTAAAGTGACTAAACACATGTACAAGGCAAAGTTTAGAAGACAAGTCGAGTAGGAATGTATGAGACAGTGTACATTGTGAGGTTAATAAAAGAAATCACTGGTTAGAAGGAAAGAGAAATATGCATCTTAAAGAATCAAAGAAGAGGCACTAGAAAAAATATAATAAATGTCACTTTAAGTTTAAAGTCAAGAATCAGTCCAGTGAGTAAAAATTAAACAAATTATGGCTGAAAAAGAATGAATCAATCAAGTTCATCCAATTAATCAATTCTTATACTGTATATGTTTCTTTCTTTAACTTTGTATTTGTTTTGGTTATAAAGTTCCTAGCTTTAGATTTAGAAACATTATCTTAATCTTTATTTTAATAGATTTGCAATTATTTTTACATTTAGGGCTTTAAGTCGCCTGGACTTCTATACATGCCATGAGGTAGGGCTTTAACTTTTTTTTTCCAAATTGACACCAATTCCCTTAAACATTCCTTAGAAGACTCTGCCCTATTTATTTTTTATCACTGGTATGATTGTTTCGGCTGCTGTACTGCTTTCATATCAGCTGTTATTGATGCTGGAAATTTCTATTAACAAAAATCTCTCAACTTCATTTCCATTTACCCCATTTTACTGAAGATATACCTAAAGATCTGCTTCAACTATGAAACTTCCCTGGACCATCATAGACAACCTAAAGTAACATAATTTCTGAGTCCCTTTACTATAGATATTCAAATTAATTACTTAAAACTGCTGATATCAGGGGCGCCTGGGTGGCTTAGTCGGTTGGGCGTCCGACTTTCGCTTGGGTCATGATCTCGCGGTTCGTTGGTTCGAGCCCCTCGTCGGGCTCTGTGCTGACTGCCAGCTCAGAGCCTGGAGCCTGTTTCAGTCTGTGACTCCCTCTCTCTCTGACCCTCCCCTGCTCATGCTGTCTCTCTCTCTCTCCTAGAAGTAAATTAAAAAAAAAAAAAAAAAAAAAAAAACAACTGCTGATAGCAATGAGTTCAACTTGACTGAAACAAATACATAAAAATGTCTTTGCATCAAAAGATGTTTATATTGCACAGACACCTTTGTATAAATACCTTTTAGATGCAGAACTCAGACCCTTAATTCTAGTGCGATGCTATCTAGACACCTTAAAACGTGTTTTATAAAACATGACAATACTGATACAACAAAGACAGAAAAGTAAGGTTTAATCTTAGTTGTTATTTTTCCGATAGAGTTTATTTTAAAAAATAATATTTAAATCCTTTTGATGAGTTTTCTTTTTCTCTACCAAAAAGTTCCTAAAGTAATTGACATTTCAGACTCATGTCAATTTATTTTTATTGACATTCAGAAAATAGACCAAAATTAAGTTTAAAATAAATTATTTTCACCACTCTCTACATTTTTTTTGTTTTGTTTTGGTTGTGTTTTGTTTTTGTTTTGTTTTGAGATGTCCGTGCATCAAACAGAGAACTCACATGAAGTCCTTGGGTGAAGCTTTCCAGAGAGCAGAGGCATCGATAGGGCTGGCTTGTGGTGTCACACATCTCGGCATGACCGTAGCACTGACATCTATGAACAGGAATATCAGAAAACTCCTAAGTCACCTCCACTGTGAATATATTTAAGAACCTGTGAATATATCCAGTGTGTAGATCCAACAAGGAAGACAAATATGATAATCAACACAAAGATCAGTTTCTCTTTTATCATATGGATGCCCATGAAAGTTTTGTATTAATCCTAAAGTACTGGATGAAGTGCCATCAATATCCAAACCATATTGTTCTGAGAAGATAATTTCCAAGTCTCCCTGGAAAAGGGGTCAGAGATTGTTTCCACCTATATCAGCCATATGACAAACTTCTCAAGGGAACCTATGCAAGTCATGGTTAAAGTAAAATTAAAAATAAACAAATTTTTAATGAATGAAATTAACAAATTTCAATTATTTCATGGTTCGCCCCCCAAAAAATTAGATGGTGAATATTTAATAGTATTATTATTTTCTTTATGCTAGTGCTAAACAATACTTATAGTTTGGCATTCTGGTCTGCTTTTAAAGATGTACATTATTTAGCATATCACTCTTCTAGCACAATTCCATGCTAAATATAGTCTACATAGGTACCATTTCCATTTGAGAGAGTATGTTGATCTCCAGCAATCCATATTTTGAAATACTGAGCCATGTTCTCAGTTATGGTCAGATGTTTATAAATTATTTAGGCAATCTTAGATTTTTCCTCCCATGAAAACAAATATTCTCCATAAAATTGTGAATTGTGAACTCAGGGAGACCAAGCCCCACACTTACAAACTGGCTGGGAATATAATTGTACTTTGAAATCGAGCTCCTTCTCTTTGATTTCAAGAATATTTTAAAAATTATACTCTAGAACCAAGTAAAATATTTAGTAAATATTTAGTAACTTATTTCTGTGCCAGATGCAGGGTATCACACCTTCCAAACTCAACAGTTTTTGAAAATTGATTCCATAACAATGTGGTCTTACATATGGGAAAGAATTACATACAAATCTTTCCAAACAATCTTAGAGTAGGAAACCGTTTCCAAGCATGAAGTTTAGAATCTGGCTTGCTCTAAATCTTAATGTATTTTTAAATTAAGTCTGACCATAATCTTGTTGAAAACAAAACTCATGATATAAAGCACCCTGCAATCAAACCTCAGTAATGAACATTACCTCCCAGTGACAGTGATTTCATCGATTGCATAGTATCTGTGTCTGAAGCTGACAGGAGTCTCAGTTGTATAGTACTGTCCATAAAAATGAAGTCTTATTTGTGTGGCTTTTACAAATTCTTGAAGAGATGGAGTATTATAAAAGTCATTGTAGCCAGGACGATGATTTGATCCAAGTGTTAGGATGCTAAATGTGACATTACCATGAGAATATGGAGTCAAACTGTTGATGAAAAATATTTGAAGTCATGAAAAATTATTCACATTTTTAACAAAACAGAATTACAACTCTGAGACATTATTACACAATATATTCATAACAGCTTAAATTCTTCGCTCTGGGAAAACAGACATATCTCATATCTCATATAATTTGTATGCAAACAATATAGGATCAACACAAGAAAAACAAAGTAAAACATTTCCTTGAGGACATAATAAAATTCTATTAATACAGATAACTTGCTAAACGATCTGAAAATCAGATTATAAAACCCAAATGAGACTAAACAAAAGATACTCTAAAGTCTTTTATGAGAACTTTAAAAGGAATTTAAAACTCAAGTTAGGGAGGACTCTTAACAGAATTGCCTCAAGAAACTTCGTGAAACAGACTCACCAGTCTAGTGAGTTAGTCTACCTATTGCTTATTATTAATCCATTAGTTTATTAAAATTAACTCATTCAAAGATATTTGTTAAGTATTCATACGTGGGAAGCTGAAGACAGTTGACAGAATCAGGTTTCTCCAAATCTCCATTATTTTTCATTCCCAAAGCTCTGCAATTTCTAGCAAAATATTGCCAATCCTCCCAATCCAGGCTGTCCTCCTTCTTCCTTTGGATCTTTATCATTGTTGGTTGTGGACTAAGGAACCGAATGATAATATAAAACACCTGAAAATGTAGAAGTCAATCATTGTCTTTAGAGTTGTAAGTTGGACCCATCAGTAGAAATCAAATCAAGGAATTGTTAGCTTCAAATGTTAACCACTTAAGAAGAAATTCAACTTAGAATATGCACCTCAGTTTTTATTAACTTATACTAATTAATAATAAACATTAATTTCAATATCTCATATGATTTCATACAAATATCTAAAAAAGGTCCTGCATATTTTATCTTATTTTTATTTCATACATTATTATACACTATTTTAGTGAAGTCATGTTCAGTTGCCTAATTCACCTTGTAGTAGATTGAATTGCAACCCCAAATAGATACATTTAAGTACTAACTCCCAGTACCTGTGAATGTGACCTTCTTTGGAAACAGGGTATTTGCCCATGTGATTAAGTTAATGATCTGAAGATGAAATCATCCCCGATGAAGGCTGGGCCTTATAACAGAATGAGGGGAAAGATTTGACACACAGACACAAACACTGAGGAAGGTCAGCGCAAAGAGAGGAAGAGATGGGAGTTATGCGGCCATAAATCAAGGAACACCAGGAGACAGACAGCAGGGCTTGGAAGAAGCAAGGAAGGATCCCCACTAGAGTCTTTGGAGGGAGAGTGGTCCTGCCAGCACTTTGACTTTGTACTTCTGATCTTCAGAACTGTGAGAGAAGAAATGTCTGTTGTTTTAAGCCATTAAATTAGTGGTCATTGGTCATGGAAGCTTCAGGAAACTAACAGACCCCATTATTTCAAATTACCTGATATTGTCCATTTTCCAAATCTATTGAAATAGTCACTCCTTGATTAAGCTGGGTAATGTTTGTAAACACATGTGATACCCATGAAGTATTGATATCATTATCGTTGACAAAAGAGAGAGGGTGGGCTTCGGGATTCAGCCGTAACACCCTTTCAGGTGTGGTGTCCTCTTCGTCATTAGGAATGCAGTATCGCTGAACCAAAGGATGGACCCGAGGGTGGCTGCCAGGGCAGCGACAATGTGACTGGGTATGCAATCTGAACAGATTTCCAGAATAAACTTCCAGAATCTCCCTGTGGTTGTAAGAAGCAGAATGTAAGACAAAGAGTTCAACAGTAATAGAACTTCTAAGGGTTGTTATAAATGAATATCACTATTTTAACATTTTGATTAGGTATCCATTTAATATTAATAATTTTCTAAACAGAATATAAAGTCAAACTCATTCCTGGTGAAATAAACACACTCATAAAATATGATACTAGAATCAGTAAATTCTTAACTGTTAACGTTTTACACTGAGAAGCATGTGTAACCCCTTGTTTGATTATCAAGACATTTATTTCAATATCATAATATTTCACTGTACCTATTTGTGATAAAAAAAAAAAAAGAAAGGTAATATTCATGTAGGTTGTTAAACTGACTTACCCCTGAGACTGAACAATCATACATTGAAAATACTGAGAGTTCTAGAAAAGGTCTCCAATTAATCCACAGGAAAGAAATAGGAAAGTAAGTATCATTTATATGCCGCTGTTTTAAGTAAAGGGACGGAGGCCAAGACCATTTGTCAATGGTTTCCTGTGACTCATGAGTACAGACTCGGGCATCCTAAAGTGCTTCAATGGCTTCAGATCACCTGGCAGCTGCCAATAGTCAAAGAATAATGCCAATTCCAGCAGACATAGTTAATTTTTTTCATTAAGGGCAATATACCTGTTCTAGGTCAGAATCAGTCATTCTATTTATAGGCATTCTTCCCTATAATACCATTCCAGACATCTCAGGTAGGCCAAGATCAGCAATCAGGTCTAACTAGAGAGACCAGGCTTCTTCCTTCAGACTCCAATGGAGTCAGGCAGTTTATCCACTCACCAAATCACACTTCCTTCTTTTAATCCTTTTGATATTTTAGAATGAGACCAAAAGTGACTTTCCAGTGAAATCTTTTCCCCTGGGAAAAACTTTAATAGTACCAAAATTGTTACAACACTACTCTGCAGAATTTTGGATAAAGGTGATTTAAAGGATAGCAAGACTGGTGGCAGGAAATCTCCCTAATAATGTGTTCCAGTGTTACAGCACCCTTTATACACGTAGGCCTTGATGATACCCAACTAGTAAATAATGTTGATATTTCTACTGGACATACTGCTGACCATAGAAGCACTTCGAGAGCAATACTCAAACTGACAAGAGCTACTACTGTCATTTGGAAATTCATCACACTAATTTACGTCTTCCTTCAAGAAATGTGAATAAACATTCTTTTTGCTCCTTAATAGAAGTAAATAACATCAGCTCATCCATACCACCATATACTATTATGTAATCTAATCATAAGTTGACAGAGAAACTTTAAGAGGACAGCTAAGCAGAATTTCACTTGAACTTTTCTGAACAGAATGAAAATATATGTCCTTAAGAATCCCTAGGAAAGATTCTCAAGATGAGGAAATACTTGATTAACACTAGGCCAACTCTATATAATTTCTGTTCACTGGAAGTAGAAAAATATACAATAATACATCAAATTATTCATTCTTCTTGTCTCCAAGTCTAATAATCTCAGCTGCTTGAGACTTTCTCATGGATCAAAAGAATCACTTTCATTGTTCTAAATTCTTTAGCATTTATAAGTTCAACAAAGAAATTTTAAAAGGGAGACAGAGCAGTTTCTTAAGTATCCCAAACTACTTCATATAGAATATTTAAACAAATGAATTCTATAATACAACATGTTCAAAAATCTAGTTTCCTTAGAGGAAATCCTTTGTAAAGAATTTGATCAATTTCATATTATAAGAAGTTATCCAACAGTGAATGCCAACCATAGATATAGCCAAAGAAAACACTATAAACTTTAATTAGGTGATATTTGCCAAATTCTATAAAGTTGAAAAATAACGTAATCTTTTGCAACTCTTACTTAATCGAATTCAGGAATTATTCTTACACCTGTTGAGCTCACAACACCACATTCACTTACCTATTTGTAAGTGCCACTTGGTATAATCGAAAATCTTGCATTCTTCCAACAAACTGCTCTAGTCCTGCAGAATACATATAATGTACATAATATAAGAAGTTGTAGTTTCCCAAGCAGTGGCTGGCAAATAAATAAATAAATCAGCTGAGCGTCTGACTCTTGGTTTTTGCTCAGGTAATGATTCCAGGGACATGGGATTGAGCCTCATGTCGAACTCCATGCTCAGCATGGAGCCTGCTTGAGATTTTTTCTCTCTCTCCCTCTGCCCCCTCCCCTTGCTCTCTCATGCTCTCTCTCTAAAATAGTGTTTTCCATAGACATTGCAAAATTTAATCCAAAGTGAATATTTTCCCAGCCTGTTTACTGACCCTACCTGTCTTTCTCCAGAAGATGCCTCCCCAAATAATTTTTTTATTTCTTTTAATTGGAGTAGAATTGACAAAGTTACATTATTTTCAGAGGTACAACACAATAATTCAACACTATCTGTTATATTATGCTCACCACAAGTGTAGCTCCCATCTGTCACCATAAAATGCATTATGATACCATTGATTCTATTCCCTATGCTGTACTTTTCATCCCTGTGACTTATTCATTCCATAACTCCCCAAATCAAATTTCACTCTAGTTTATAAACCCATAAATCTATCATGTTATCAATGCTAAATTTGATTGTCTTCTACTTTCAACTGCAATTCCCAGAGCATTTGCATTGCCAAGAGGAAGACTCCCAACCTGTTCTATCAACCCCCTACTCGGTCTCCAAGCTCCAGAGAATCACTTTGGGTCATCTCCAAACTTAGATTAATGCCTAGTCTAGAAAATCTCCTGTAAATGAGGATAAATTGAACACCGCCTACTCATAAATTCTGAGCTATTCACATATATCAATGGTATTCTAGCTCAGTCTCAAAATTCCATTACCTCCTGAGAATTCTTCTCAGACAAGCCAGACTCAAAGTCCACTCTGCATTGAATTAAGTGAACTTACAAGGTGTAGGTAGATATCAACCTTAAATTACACATTACTTCAGTAATTCATTTAACAAATATTTATTTAGAATTTAATAACAGGTAAGTCAAAAAGAATAGGAACAAAAACCTAAAAAAGAAAAACAAAGAAACCTACCACCTCAAAGGTTTTTTATTATGCTTCTAATAATGAGGAAAACTTGATTAAATGGAAAGATTGTAGCTAGAGTTTGGATCACGGGAACAAAAGAGGGGGTGTGATGTACCTTATTGTGCCAATTCAATAATTATTTTAAAATTAAATTTACAGGGGGCACATGGGTGGCTCAGTCAGTTAAGCGGCCGACTTTGGCTCAGGTCATGATCTTGTGGTTGCTGAGTCTGAGCTCCGCATCGGGCTCTGTGCTGACAGCTCAGAGCCTGGAGCTGCTTCAGATTCTGTGCCTCGTCTCTCTCTGCCTCCCACCCCCCACTCATGCTCTGCCTCTCTCTCTCAAAAATAAATAATAAAACATTTTAAATTAATTAATTAAATTTAGAGCAATGGTTAGCTTACCGAATGACCATTTCCTCAAATGTGTTCATTTATATGATAGAGAGAGTGCAACTGGGGGAGGGACAGAGAGAGAGGAATGGAGGGAGGGTGGGAGGAAGAGAGAAAGGAAGAGAGAGATTGAGAGAGAGAGAGAGAGAGAGAGAGAGAGAGAATCTTCCGTAGGCTCCATGGCCAGTGCTGAGCCAGATGCAGGGCTTGGTCCCATGACCCTGGGATTATAACCTGAGCTGAAATCAAGAATTAGATGCTCAACCAAATCACCCAGGTACCCCAGTGTGTTTGTTTTCCAGATATTGTCCTTTTGTCTTGATAACAGAGTTTTAAAGAATATTTGATCTTTGTTGCAGCTCCTTGGTGGTGACATGGAAGAAACTGGGGCAGGGTAAGGATAAATCTAATGAATAAAAGATGTACAGTAAGAATTAGCACACCAAACAGTATGAGATATTGCTCTCAGAAGCAGGAGAAGATAAATGAGCAAAGAGCGTGACGTTTGGCATGAGTACGTGTCTGTAAATGTATATGTGCACATATGTGTACGTATATATATGTATATGTGCATGTGTGTATATATATTTTAAAGGATATTTAAGAAAGAAACCAAGAATATTTTATATATTAATTTTTTTCATAAGTATAAATATTTTCAATCAATATGCTTTAAGAAAAACTATGTCTGTGGGCTTTCCCTCTCCACCCCTCTGTCTCGGTCCTTCAGGCACCCCACAACCTGAGGTCCATAGGAAGAAGGTAGGACTACACAGCCCCCTGCTCTGACTTTTCAGTAAGGAGAGTTGCTCTGTCCTATCTGTCCAGAAACAGGCAAGTGGAACAAGTGCAAACTAATTATGTATTAAATCGGTGTTATGAAGACAAAACAAAAAATACTATAAAAGCTTGTACACATTTTTAGAATTCCAACACAGTTTGCTCTAAAATGTGTAATTGAAAGAAATAAGAAAATATGATAATATGTTTATTGGTGAAGTGACCGTCCAGAAAACTTGATAAACTGACCTGGATCCAAGATCTAAAGTTAAGCAAAGTAGGGACTGGCCAAGGAAGGATATGCCCACCTTGAAGATAGGAGGAAAGATGGGAAGAACAGGTATGTATACAGTTAACTCATTGTGTGCTTGTGTATTTTTGTAGGGGAGGAGGGAAGACAATTAGAAAAAAATTACTCATGGTATGAATTTTCCGAGGTAAGAGGTAATGAATGCTGTCCTCCTAAATGAAAGAAGCTGGGTCTACCTTCTGTTTCTTTCTTTAACTTCACCTATTCACACTCAATCCACACCCAATCTTTTATCTTCCTAACATCTTTTATAACCTTTGCTGCAGTTTTACATCCTGAATTTAAAGTGCCCCACTATTAAATGTTTTATCTCAAATAACCCAGAAAGAAGAGATCATAAAAAATATGAGATAATCATTCGTGATTTTGAAAGGCCTAATCGAACTAAAAGCAAAAGTAATGAATGTTTTGATTCTTGTCAAAGCCAGCCAGCCTCATGGTTATAAATTGTCAAGGTGGCTGTACTCTTTTTCTTTTTAATAGTTTATTGTCAAGTTGGTTTCCCTATCACACCCAGTGCTCATCCCCACAGGTGCCCTCCTCCATGCCCATCCCCCTTCCCCTCTCCCCCACCCCCATCAGCCCTCAGTTTGTTCTCAGCATTCAAAAGTCTCTCATGGTTTGCCTCCCTCCCTCTACCCCACTATTTTTCCCCTCCTCCACATGGTCCTCCGTTAAGTTCCTCCTATAAGTGCAAACATATGGTATCTGTCCTTCTATGCCTGACTTATTTTGCTCAGCATAACACCCTCAAGTTCCATCCATGTTGCTACACATGGCCAGATTTCATTGTTTCTCATTGCCCTTTAGTATTCCATTGTATAGATAAACCACATCTTCTTAATCCATTCGTCAGTTAATGGACACTTATGCTCTTTCCATGTTTTGGCTATTGTTGAGTGCAATGTTCACAAATCAATCAATGTAATACATCACATTAACAAAAGAAAAGATAAAAACCATATGATCCTGTTGATAGATGCAGGAAAAGTATTTGACAAAATACAGCATCCTTTCTTAATAAAGACCCTCGAGAAAGTCAGGATAGAAGGAACTTACTCAAGCATCATAAAAGCCATCTATAAGAAACCCTCAGCTATCATCATCCTCAACAGGGAAAAACTGAGAGCTTTCCCCTGAGATCAGGAACACGACAGGGATGTCCACTCTCACCACTGTTGTTTAACATAGTGCTGGAAGTCCTAGCACCAGCCATCAGACAACAAAAGGAAATAAAAGTCATCAGAATTGGCAAGGAAGAAGGCTGTACTCTTTTATGCATTCATTCATTCAACAAGTATTTATTGAGAGTCTATAATGTGTTAGGCACTTTCACAGTTTCCAGGGATATATCAGTGAACAAAATACACACAAAAATAAAAAAAAAAAATTCTTTTTACGGAGCTTGCATTTAAGCAGTTAGATGAACATAATACATGAGTGATTTACATAGTACACTAGAACATGATAAATGCTATGAAAAACTGGGAAAATTAAAGCAGCTTGGAAAGCACAGACTGGATTTTTAATTTGGATGGTATGTTCAAGAGGGCCTCATTGAGAATGTGGTATTGACAGGGGAAAAGGAATGAATCATTCATATATCTAGGGGCAAAATATTCCAGACAGGAGTCAGTGAGTGCACAGACCCCTAAGGCAGTATGCTTGGCATGTGAGAGGAACTGCAAGGAGCCAGAATCCAGGAGCAGAATAATAGAGGGGAGGCTATTGGAAGATTAGGTCAGACAAGTAACTGGCTGGGGGGAATGGGGTTCAAATCATTAAAAGTCTTGCAAACCTACTGTAAAGACTTTGATTTTTATTCTGAATGAAATAGGCAGTCACTGGAGGGTTTAGAGTAGAGGACTGACATGATCTCACGTTTATTCAAAAGTGTTAAGAATAGAATGGAGAGGACAAGGGTAGAAGTAGTGAAACTATTATAGTAATCCAAGTGAAAGATGATGGGAGACAGACCAGGGTGTAGAAGTGGAGGTGTAGTTTTCAATGCTGATAAATTAGAATTCACTTCCTATATTTTAATAATAGTTAAAGAGGAAGCCCTGCTGTAGAGGAATAAAATATATTTTATCATCTATAAAATAAAGGGGCTGTGTTTTATGACCTTTAAAAACCATTTCAGTTTTAAATTTTGGAGTCTGGACATAGAAAAATCACATCCTCTACTGCAGAATTCATATCTGAAAAAAAATTCTGAAATAAAAAGTGAGAAAAAATTCTCTAGAGACCTAGAGTTAATGGTGAATCATCCATTCAAGTAAGAGAATAATGATTTTGATTTCAGGGGAAAATATCATAAAATATCTTGAGGATAAAGATGGATTTTACTCCTTCCTTTGCTAGTTGCCAATTATTTAACAATAGATATGCATTGGAATAGTTCCATATAAAGATTTTTCTTTGAAAAAATATTCATATGGTAAAAATAGGTCTA